CTTTTCTTTGCAAGCTCCTTTGACTACGATGACCTGGATGACTGAGAACCTTCACAGACATATCAGCTGGTCATTATTAACAAGTAGCTGTTACTGTGTTTCCAAAGTGCTTTGGTACATTGTTCTTTATATCACGTGGTAAAGTTCTAAGGACGGAAGATGCCCTTCCCAATGCAGCCCATAAATGCAGGAATGCAATTCAACGCAGTTGCAAAAGGCTGTTTCTCACACAAAACCTTGATGAAAAAAAAAATGTCAATGAACAAATCACCAAAACAGCCGACAAAATAAACAGTTCCTCTGACGCTGTGAAAATCCAAGGTGGTCGAAATGTTTAGATGTTCTGTCAGAAAAACAGACAGACTCCCCTTAGCTGCTGAGTTCCAAACAGGTTTCTACTACAAGTTTTACTGACAGTGAAAGCCTCGTGAGCCAGACTAGTATTTTTCTGAGTATAACTGACAACAACTTAGCATCAAAGCAGCCCAGTTTGAAGATTCTCTTATCTCCAGCAAACACAATGGAGCATTTGGTAATCGTCGTCTTCTTTCGGCACACGGTTGACCTTGTAACACGTTTAACTGATCGGGATCCTCCACGTTCAAAAGTTGCTGCAACTACAAAGATTCTTTAAATGAGTTTGCCAAAAACATGTGACTTTGCTTGGCAGATTTACATAATTTTAGAGACTTTTCAGCATGGAGTGTATGACAGTTTATACACTGAAATAATTCCAACATACTTTAGAAAGAGGGGGGAAAAAAGAAAAGAGAAACTGTTCAGCTATGAAGGCGCATTATCTATTTTGATCACAAAGACAGAAAGCAGTAATTGTTCAAATTGTAGACAATTGGGCTTTGATTTGGCGAGATGTGATAAAACAATCGCGAGCGCTAACAATGAATGAGAAATGTTTTTTTCTGCTGTGCGCAAGTAACAACATGCTGTGAATGATTTCACATATTGTTTTGACAACTTGAACTATTATTTAAGGAGCGAGAAAGACTGCGATGAAGAGAAGCGAGCTTCACCGGCTAAATGCATCTACAGTTGCAATTAAACAGACAAGAAACAGCAACAAAATGACAGAATGAATCAAAGATGCAGATTAGCAGAGCAGCATTTTGAAAAAAAAAAGAAAAAAGCATGCTCTGTGTGCTGGAAATGAGAATCTTATCTTTTGAGGTTTTGCAGACACGTGATCGTCAAACGTGATATTAACTTGTCTTCTGGACATGTGGCAATTACAATAAAAAAGTAGAATGAAGTGCACAGTGCCCTAATCACACAAGCTTAGATGCTGGTCAGTGACCATCTGGCAACCACCTGTCGTTAGGGAAAAAATTGTGGTTGCTGGAGGTTGATGGCAGTTGCTGGGAAAATAATTGTTAATGCCCCAGTCACACAGGCCTACACACTGGTCAGTGACCCCCATTTATCCCTAGCAACACACCTGTCACTATAGGCAACTGTGGAAATCTACTAGGAACCGAAAAAAAAAAAGGATTTTGGTGTAGCACCTTTTTTTATACCAATTTTACCCAGAGGGAACCAATGACATCCAGGATATATGCATTTTTCCCCCCTTGCAACCAATATGGCAGACAAATGTCGAACAATATCACGCGAGAAAACTCAACAGGAATAATTTCAGGGGTGATGCATGCAAAGGGCTATTACAATCTTAGCCCAGATTTCAGGTACATTTATTATCACATTTTTTAACTCATACTCTTCTCCCGCCTTCTCCTATCAGAAAAAAAACAACCTTAAAGCCCCCCCAAAATATATTTTTCTGCCAGTGAAAGCAGCTTGTGCTCCCTGTCTGAGTGAAAAGGTAGCTGTAATAATGTCAGATCAGCAAAGAATGTGGCCCCTTTAGCTTCTCTGTTCAAACAGGCAGAGTTTGGGAATGAAACTGTAATTATGGAGGAAACTGAGTCGGTTTTATTACCACAGATCGGTGACATGGGCTGTGTCTGTGTGTGAGAATCACTGCAGTCTGGTACAGTGCATGCCAGGAACCGAGAGATGATGGTACAAAGAAAATGCGACAGACTTGTATATCTATGGCAACTACTGTGACAGCTACACTAGTTTAGCATATTGCTGAACATTCAGGTAGGCTCTATTATTAATTATATATTAATAATACTTTGTGGTGACCGAGCTTTAGGACCGTTACAGCACTGCACACTGCTTTAAAGCGTGTGATACTGTGTGGACTCACCCCAGCCGAGGCACAGAAACCGCTTGCGAATGAGTCGTGACCTCATTTTGCCAATGACTGCCAGGTAGGACTGCCACGCCTCAGTCAGCACCCAGCAGAAGGATGCCAAGAAGAAGAAATGCAGGAAGGCAGCAGTCACAGTACAGAGGCCCTAGTGAATAAAGAAAGTAATCGAGAGAGACAAGGGATTACAACACACGGAGAGGTGCTATTTAAACAAACAAACAAACAAACAAACAAACAAAAAGTTCTTAAGAAGAGACGTCACAAATCATCTTTTAGGGCTTGGCAGGGGAATATGAAACCTCCGCAAAATAAAAAGTACAAAAGCAAAAATACTGAGTGGAAGAACACGAGTTCAACCTGGCACTGCTGTGTGGTTGATCGATACTGACCACCACACAGTTCAGCCTTGCTTAGTCAGAAGACTTAGAATGCCTGCTTTGAGAACTCTACTGTATGAACTTTGTCTACTTCTGAACCCTGGTGGTTTTTGGCAGTTTTGTTTCTAGGCAATGGAGGCTTAGTCACAAGCACTATTATTGGAATCACAAGCACATGGACAAGACTTCCTGTGAAAATTCACGTGTAACTCAAAGAGCAGAGAGTCATTACCTTGCTAAGCGTTTGTGATTGTCCGACCAGAATTAATAAATTGGAGGCCAGGATGGAGAGGCAAAAATTCACCAAGATGATCGATCTCTCCGACCGGATATACCTACAAGCAGAGAAACGAGAGACGGGAAAGAGGGAGAAATGACAGGCGTGTGCGGTAAGCGTTGATGACAGACTGATGGACTGAACAGTGACTTTCTGGACACTGCAGAGACATTAGCTTGAGTTTGCCATCTGCTGCGTGTAATCAAAATACAAACTAATCACCACCTCCCCCCCACCGTAGTTGAACCATTTGTTCCTTATTAGGCCTCATTGGAGTTTTTGGCAAAGCAAATGACAGACACAAAAGAGACTTTGCTAGTGAGAAAATGACCACTGTGAGCACAGTTGATGTATGAATACTGACACTGCCATTACTCTATCAAATGTGCCTCTCAGTGTGTTTGTGAGCTCTCACCTCCAGAAGGCAGCATATATTAGCAGCAGGATGAGCAGAGCGGTGCATGAGATGCCGCACCCCACCATAAGGGGCACAGAGGGCATGCTGGCAGGACCCATGTCCTAATAGCGGGAGGAAAGAATAGAAACAGGAGAGGGAGAGAGAGATGGATACTTCAGTGCAGTTGCAAGGCATTACAAGAGACATGTACCTGTATCAAAAAAAAACAGAGTATTTTGCTCTTGTCAACAAAGCACATCTCAGTATATATCTGTTTGAACTTGAACGTGCTGGTCTTGTTATCGAGGTTTTGTTCCAGTTGCTAGGAAACATTCCCAAACTGACTGATTAATGATGATGGCACTTATGCCGCTGAAGTTGCATCAACTGTGACATCGACATTTGATAATGCTAACATGTCTATGAAAGCGAGCTCTGTGACCGTCATTAAACACCAGATAACGTAATTGTTGCTGCTTTTCTGCTTTAAATATCCCCCAACGATATGATAATCAGGAGCCACTGAGGAAATATAATTAACTGAAACAAAATTAAAAAATAAAGCTCACCTACAGCATCTTTTGCATGACCAACTAATTCTTGCATTAAATTTACATCATCAGTTTAATGAGGCTTAGTGTTAGTTTAGGCAGGCTACAAAAAGCTGAGCCACTCTCCTTAAATATCGCTTAATGCAGGGATGTCAAAGTAAACACTAAACTCCCTTTTCTATCAGTGCAAAGACATCTAATTAAACATTCAATAACTGGCATGTCTTATTACAAAACTATGTGTCTCAATTTTCAACATTGATAAATGTGTAAAATTACAGAAACGCTTCTGTTAGCTCATTGTCCAGATTGTCCTGTAATTATAATAGTATATAAAAAAATTCTATATTAGATATAATAGTTACCTGTTATTTAATTAGTTAGTTATCTGATTATCTATTACTTAACTATTTGTTGTAATAAGAATGGTATGAATAGTATAATTAATCTTTATCAATAGGAATCTATATGCATTCCTTCACATTTCCCAAAGCCTTCCAGTGGGCCATATTGGAGTCTTTGTCAGGCCAATTCTGGCCCCCGGCCTTATGTTGGACACCCCTGAATTGATGTAAATGGTAAATGGTAAATGGCCTGTATTTGTATAGCGCTTTTACTAGCCCCCCCTAGGGACCCCAAAGCGCTTTACACACCCAGTCATACACCCATTCACACACACATTCACACACTGGTGGAGGCAAGCTTGTAGCCACAGCTGCCCTGGGGCAGACTGACAGAAGCGAGGCTGCCATATCGTGCCATCGGCCCTTCTGTATACTATCCCACAAGTGTTGATGACTCTGCTTTTTCCTTTCAACAAATCCACTCTCTCTGAGGCTTGTTGCTGTTTAAGCTGCTTTAGCCTGTCCACAGTTTCAGCACATCTGCAAGCTGCTTTACAACCCACCTCTGCCTCAGCTCTAACTTAATTAATCAACCTGTTGTTACTGATGCCTGCTCTGTGTATTACGTATGCGAGTTAAAAGGTAGTGAGGTACCAGAACAGAGCTATTCCACCAAGTGTAAATGACTGCAGATTAAAATATGACTCTCCTTCAAACCACTAGAACGAACTGTTTCTGTGATGACTGACCAATGCTGCCAAGACACAGAGCTGGCTTTGACAAACACTCACTTTACACTTGCTGTGCACCAATTATACACTCATTTGATGATTTCTTATGCGCGAGGGTAAAAGTACGAGACCACAGCGCATAATTAAGTGATTTAGGTCATGATGTACAGCGTACCTCTGCTCCTGAGGTGTGCCTTTGAAAGCATGAGGAACAGACAAATGAAGCCGCATGGAAAGCATGCACCCCACCGCGTCCCAAATGGGCTTGATGTTTGGCCCGCTTTTAAGTTCTCAATCACACAATTTACCTCAATTTACCCCCCGCAGTGACTATCCTTCCCTTTCATCCCAAAGATTTATCACTGTTCGTACCCGTGGCACAAGGTGTCTTTTACTGCAAATAAAGAACATACTTGCACACATAGGCACATCCAGGCAGATGGGCTAAGTAATTGAAGGTAAGTGTTTAAGCTGCGTGTGCCTGTGTGTGTATTCGACTTGATCTGAATAGACGGAAGCATAAGACGAAGACTTCTTTATTCCCATCAGAAAGGAGAGGAGAAACCAACATGAAAAGAACGAGTAAGAGAGAAATCTAGAGAGGGAGATGGAGTAGGAAGAGCTAAGGACAAGTAAGCAAAAGCAAAGAGTAGGAGGTGAGCGAAATAGATAGGGAGACTGAAAAAGCAAGAAAGTCAAAGCTTGTCTTTTAGTGGTTTTTTCCCCTGGCCCATCAAAGGAAGCCAATTTCTCCAGAGGAAGGCGGAATAGGTTGGAATACCAATACGGCACACACACAAACACACTGGGAAGGGAATGGAGGTGAAACATAATCAAAACTGCCTCATAGGGAAGGCGAGATCTACGAAAAAAAGACAAAGAGGGCATATGACAAGCATCTGTTCTAGGAAAAAGGGAAGGGCCTAGAAGGAGAGCGAGAGACAACAGAGACTGACTGTGTTTGATACTACGAAGAATGGAAGGTCAAAGGATACACAGGCACTTGTGTTTTTTGAGGTCTGACAGATCAAACACAGGGCGATGCATGGGGAATGACAAGCAGACAAGCGCATGCACGCACACAGGCACACGCACTTAAAAAAAGGCTGCAGGATCACCTTTTTTCCCTCTCAGTTTCTGAATGAATCCATCTTAAATTAGCCTCTGCTAGAAAACGAGTCAAATAAACGATTCTCTCATTTCTAAGTGTGCTCTATATAAACCTCTCTATATAAACTGTCCCTGAACTCGTCATCGTGTCAATTTGTCTAACAGCATTGTCTAAATTGGTGGCGGTTAGGTGTGTGATGAGATTAAGGGTTTATTTCATAATATGGAAGGATGCTACAATAAGGGGAAATGAAAAGAGGAAACGCCCACACAAACAGACACGCTCAAAAACACCAAACATAACACATCGGGCCCGAGGCTACTGGCTCACACAGATGCCCTGCCCCAGATAGATATAGTGATATTTTGATGCAGTCGGAGGAGAGAATAAAACGGAGTGCAGATTAGAAAGAGTGAGTGCGCTGAGGCTCTGCTGTATGTGGCCAGGCTCCCCTGGGCAGATTGGCTACCATGTGATGGAGAAGATAGCTATTTTGAGCTCAGGAAGTTTAACCTACTTATCTCCTCTCACTCCTCCTCCCCACCCCCTTCTACCTATCCTGCTACCACCCACTCCCTCACTTCATCTCCCTCTCTTTGGCTCTCATTCTTCCCCTATCCCCCCCCCTTACATTCAGACCTGCTCCTCACTCCTCACTAGTGGCTTTCCATGTCCACCTGCACCAAAAGGCCTGTTTTCCATTAACTGTTCTTACAACTTTCCTACTGGAAGAAAAATGTGAATATTGAACTTAGCTGACAAATGTAGTCTTCCTATGACTGATTAGACAACTTCTGTTTAATATGTATCCTTATGTTAAGTTATCACTGTACAAATACTGCAGCTGGTTGGTGATGTGCTTAAAGTGCACAGAATTAATAACTATATGGACTGCGCTCTATAAGCGGACAGTAAAATTAGAAAATTCCTAGAAAGATGTCAGTCCATTTCCATTAATATGGCGGTCAGAGACAAAGGGCACCACCAAACGGGAGAATTTATCCAGTATTTCTTACAAAAATTTCACTTATCTGTATGTGTGTTTCTAGTGCTGATCAGCATGATCAGATTAAGCTTTTCAGTACTGCAGTAAACACAGTGATTATGTTACAGTTTTCAGATACAATCTACACGCTGGGCAGATGGAAAGAAAAAGAGCATCCTTGCAAGCACCTGCTAGAGCTGAGCAGACTGATCTGAATAATGATAGCATTGATACCACCACTGATATTGGTATCAGATCAATACTAGCGCAGTGGGATCAATACTTTGTTTCTGTACTCTAAGTTCAGTATGAAGCCCACTGACGTGTGTTAAACAAAACATATTTTCTTCTTAGAAATAAAGAAATATCCTTCAAACATGCATAATGAAAAATCACTTAACCTTTTTGCTTTGGCTGTCAATTTTATTTTATTTATAGCATATAGCACATTTGAAGAACAGAGGTTGAGCTAAGTACTTTAGAGACAGACACATTCACATCTCCAGAATACATGAAAAGCTTTTGTCCTCTTAACTAATTGCAGTGGAGAGCAGAAATCACAGTGATTTAGCGGCTAATGAAATGTGTTCAGAATTTGCAAATCATGACACAATGCTTGCCTCTACAAAAGCTGCCTTAATACTGGCCCTGTATCGGATCAATACCAAAATCTGCAGTATCAAACAGCCCTACCATCTACACAGACAAACGGGCTAACACAAAACTAGCCAAGAGCCTGGAGAGATGATGAAGCTGAGTGCAAGCTGACCCCAGTACAGCAGTCAGACCCTGATCTACAAAGGGCGACAAAAGCTATATTTCATATTCAGTGACACGGAACACATTAGCGTTTGGTCCCCATCTATAAATTTCCTTCACTACATATCTTACTAGTCTTAGCTAACATGGAAATTAATTACTACTGGTGTGTCTGGCAGGTGACATCACTATAATAGTTCTGCTTATATTACATGTAATATAATACAAGATGGTTAAATTTGTTCTAGCAACAGTTAATTGTCGCCTGACTTTGAATTTTAAAATCATGTTTAATTTTGAGAAGGAAAAAGCTATCCATTTATTCCCCCTATAGTGGATGTACTGCAGCAAAATCAATAATCAATATGTGCACATTTATTATTTGTCAATGAGAACATATTGAGTATTCATTACCACTTACAGCATTGATATTTTTGCAGTGTGTCTCACAGTCCTCCCATGTAGGGTCTGAAAATACTAGGCCCCTTGTGAAAAGTGGGGAAAAAATGACATTTTCAATTCAAGGCAGTCACTTGCCCCTTTTATTCCCACACAGGAACATACAAACTCAACAGTACACCCAGGCACACTGTGCCACTACATAGAAGGTAAAACTATTTTGCTAATCTAGCAATCCTGCT